CGGAGAATTATCCATCGAAGGATATGATCGATGCAAGGGAGGACCACCTAGAAGCTAGTTGCTTCAAAAGAGTTTTCACCATTGGCAGCACTAAATTAATAATACTCCTCGTTGAGTCAGAGATATTGAATATACTGAAAAAGCTATCCACAATACCAGAAAACGTGAGCATGGGAGCATGTTCTTGCTGATTATTCAGCTGATTTTCTGGTCGAATAACTGGAACATCTGGGGTCTTAGATGATCCTGGAAGTGACGGAAAGTTCTTGTCATAATTACAAGGTTTAAAACCCGGTGGAATGGGCTTCGGTGCATTTCCGTTACCTATTGATTTTTCCAAGGTGGAAGGGTGGTCCGTACTAATGGCCTTACGAGGCTTTTCGGTGGTGTGTTGTTTTGCTCGTTTTCTCGTATTGCCTTTAAAGACAAACGGACTAATCTCACCACCCTCTGAGTCAATGTCTAGATCATCAACTGGCAAAATGGAGAACGTGTTACTGTTTTTTGGTGTGGTCTGAGAAGATGAAGCGGTATTCTTCAAGAGTTCTGCTATTGTTCTCTTGGAGCGAGCTTGCAGAGACCACCTAATTTTATCTCCCTGCTGTTTATACCTCGGGCAGTTAGTCAGGGTATGCAGGCTTTCCTTGCAGTACACGCATTTTGGAGGAGCACCGCAAGGGCCCTCTTGATGTTGCTCGCCACACTGATCGCAGCGTGGTTTGTTCGAGCAGTAGTCCGATGTGTGACCAAGTAGTTTACATTTCGAGCAGTTCATTTCCCGAGGCACAAACAGGCGTACAGGCAGCCGAACCTTGCCAATAGCGACGTAGTGAGGTAACGCTGAACCCGAAAAGGTCACACGAAACGAGTTCGACAAGAAATACGATTTTTTTTGAGCCTACGATAGATACTGACTGCATTTGAAGGCAGTCCAATATCATCACCTTCGGCAAAGCACGGTTTTTAAAGATTCCGAAGGAATCTGGACCCAAGAAATCATCACTAATCAAACTCACTTCGGTGACCACTCCTTCAATATCGACCTCACTACTGGGTATGTAGACTCGGTATTCCAATGAAAAAAACTTGCACGCAACAATTTGGTTCGCCTGCTTCCGGGCTTCAACGGTAACGCGCAGTTTTATTGGTGTTACCTTGAAAATATCGGTAACGGCCGAAAAATGTGTTGTTAGATCCTTAGAGATCCTCGGAATGTTCAAAGGTTTTTGTTTGGGCCGAAAAAAAAACAACCCATGGGCCTTTCGAGGCTTCTGGGTAAGCCTTTAGGCGGGGGAGCGCATAGGTTTTCGGGAGCAATGGTGCGGGGGCTGCAGGTGGACGAGGAGGAGATGGTGGGGGAGAGGGTTGTGGGCGATACCTTTTCTTGGGATATGCTCCAGTATTTTTGCTGGAGAGCGAGTCAACTGGAACGTCAAGGGTTTCCATTTCCACAACTTCCTCGAGACTTTCGTGTGAGGTGGAATTAAGAGTTTCGTCATCTGAGATGGAAAGCGACCATCCCCCACCTTTATCATTTTCATCCATTGCGGTTAAATATCACCGCAATGGTGTTTTAGGTAATTTTTTTTACAAATAATTACACTAATTTCAAATAATATCAAAAATCGAAAGAAAAAAAAAAGATATAAGGTAAGGTTAAAAAAATATATATATATAGTTTCACTCTACTAAAGAGTAAAAAAAATATAGGGGAATTTACGTATTCTCGGCAACCTAAGCAGCGACCTTGTTTCTATAGCCTTTTTCTCTAAGGAACGCACACATATGCAGTATTGGTTTGTTTACAATCTTTTGCTGCCAGCTGCTCTAACAATTTCAGTCGAAAGAATTGTCAAAAACTGTTTTGAAACGCTTTTACAAAGCTCCAATCTTCTCTAGTGAGAGCGAGTATTGTCGGCAACCAGTTTTTCTTCGGCAACCGTTCCATTTGAACTGCTGTTCTATTATCGGCAACTCGAAATCAGCTACAATTTGTAGTGCGTGTGTTTCATTTCAAGAAAACCTTGCTAGATTGTTTTTTCTCAGTGGTAAAAATATAGTCAAATTGAAGCTGAAAGCATAAAGAATCGTTTGCATGCATAAGCGAAGTGTTTTCGTAAGAAAATCCGTTGAAAATAGTGTTTCAATTTGGGTTGCCGAAAATAGTCTGGCATGCCGAAGCCGTCATTTCCCCTATATAAAAAAAAAATACTTTTTACAAAATTTTTGGATCACCCTAATTATGCACCAACCTAATATTTGACCAGAGGAACAAGGGAGATGCGATACTGACGAGAACAAAACAACAGCAAAACGGCTGAGGCAGCAGCAGACTGGAGAAATGAAATTGTTTGACCCAATAATGGGTCAATAACCTCGTAGCTGGTGTGCCTCGGTCCACTCGGTAGGCAATTTCGTTGCTGCTATCGATGGTGTGATGTGCCGATAGTGGTGATGATATTGCTTATGTTGGTGTTGCGATGATGATGATTAGAGCTGGACCGTAATCAAAGCGCTCGGCGTATGGTTAACGGCTTCCTCACTCGCGCACTTGTTGTCTATCACACTGTGTCAAATAACTTTGGTGAGAAAAAAAACCCTCGCGTGGGGAAAAACTAAAAAAATATCGGATTATAGTGTCGTACAACGAGACAAGTACGTCTTGACCGGCTCAGTGTGTGAGACGGAATGATATTCGATAATTAAACCACCTAGCTTGCTTAGATACATTATTTAAAAAAAAAAAAAAATTTGTCGACTTCATTTTCAGTGTAGTAGTCGAAGAGTAAAACACTAACTTTTTCCGCGTCAATTACTAGGGGTTGGTCACTCTACACAGTGTGCCAAAATCAAACTGGGGCACATTGGGGTGCAGTCATTGACGTTGTTTGGCACCCATGGTTACAATTTTTATGATCTTCAAAGCTACTGGCAACACTGAACTTTTTCTGCGCCTGCGCAGAGTGCATGTGTCAAAATTTGTTATTGACGTTGCCACTCCTAGTCAATTTTTTTTTTCAAACAACCGTGAATCTCCACCAAGTCTCGCCATGGATTCTCAAAATCGTTACACCCGTGACGGCAGTCGCATCCACATTTCCTCTCATACGAAGAACAGCTGGCAGCGGTATCTTGACCTAACCGAGGGTTCCGGCCATGGCTACACGAACTAGCGATGCAGCTCCCACGGCTGCGGCTGCTTCCAATGCTGCTGCTGGTCCGTCTTTTTTGACGAATTTTAAAGGAGACGGACCAGCAGAAGAGCCGTGAGAGCTGCATCGCTAATTTGTGTAGCCGTGGTCGACGCTGGAAATCTTGGGCCGGTCACGACAAGCGGTGCTTGAATTTTAATCGGAAAGTTAACAACCAAACAAAATCTATACCATCCGACCATTTGAACTGCTCGAATACATCCATGGCGGTGGCTGCTACATCAACCATTCCATCGTCCAACATATAATGTTGGAGGACCGTCTTGGCAAAATCTCAAATAGTTCAACAAATTTTTACTCTCGTTCCTTTTTGTACTTCCAACTAACACAATATGAAATTATAATTACGAATCATAACATTAACTACCCAGAAAAAGGAAAATCCTTTCTTTTCTCAGAAAACAAGCTTCCGCTCTTTCAAAGCTAACGTGTTTTCGGTGTTCTCGTTGCTCCACGCACTGTTCATCTTCTTGGAGGAGGAGAAACACAGCTTCTAAATGAACGGGAGTTTTGTGCATTTGTGATCATCGCGCTGTGGTTGCACTTCATGATGACGTTCACCACCAGGGCTACGCTCTGGAACTCGACCAATCCGGAGGAGGAACTTCCCGATTTCAGCGGGAACATTCGCACTTGCGACGGGTGGCAGCCCTTGGTGGTGAATGCAGTCAGCAGCAGATCCTCGGACGGCATACGGGTGGGTTATTGAAGAAGTGGAGAATGCGATTTTTGCTGGCCTGGGAAGCGATTGTTCTTGGAGGCGCTGTAGACCTTGAAGCTGATCGAATTGTCCTGCAGGGTGTACGGGTTGGTGGACTCTGACAAGTAGTTCAGCTTGGAAAATTGGCTGGTCCGTTTCGGGTCAGCGGTGCGTCCTTTATCAGTCCGACGTGTGTTTTGGCCGGTGCTGGTTTCCAGTTTTCCGACGGATGATACTCGGGCGGTGAAAAATTTGGTGCAAATCCATTTCCTCCGCCGGCTCCCAGAAGGTTTGGTTGACTAATGATTGGCGTTCGTTGTGCGGTGTCGGCCTTCCGCCAAAGATGGAAGGATCGTGTAGCAACGGAGCTCGTCCGTTGCAGGCATCCTTGGAGACGGATGCATCCAGTGTGTAGTCCCAACTGGAGTCCGTGTCGTTTTTGAAAACATTGAAAAACAAAACAAAAATAAAAGCTGTTAAAATACCGGGTTGCCAAACAAGGCATTATTCACAAGCAATCAAAAGTCAGTTCAATGACTTCTTGACACTGCCGGTACAACTGCGGCACACTGAGGTACACTGAGAAAAAAGTTGGCGCAAAACAAGTGTGTAGAGTGACCACCCCTTGGTCAATTATTATATGTAATCAAAATTTTCAGACATTTCTTGGTAATAATATAAATATATTATTATTATTATTATTATTATTATTATTATATAAATCTGATTGTTCGCTCTCACTTACTTGTATCCCACTAAGCGCTGCAAAATAATCACATTGGCTGTCATTCTTTTGTGCACTGTATAACGTACAATATTTATAGATCTGCATCATTTGAAACTTTAAAAAATAATAAAATATAAACTTCGGAACCATAAAGTTATAATGAAGAAATTTGTTACATCGAAATCAACAGTTAACCAAGTTACGAGTCATGTTAGTTGTTATGATAAGTTGATTTTTTATGAGTCAAAAAAAAAAATGCACGCTCTAGTTCAAATTATTGTTCATAGCAGTCGGAGTCCGTACTTTTTCTTCGACTCCGACTCCAATTAAATAATTTGATAGAATAAGGGATTACACCTCTCCAGGGAGGGATCTAGCCTCCACCCTAGTGGGTAGCTGGTATTTTTCAAAACTATATATTAAAACGCTTTAAAAACTTAAAAATATAATTTGCATAAACTTATATGGATATATGTCTGAGTAACGTATAATGCATTTGTAACTGACACAAAGGTTTAATTTATTTAATAAATACAAACACAAATTCAAATAAAACATTTTATCATATTTATATTTTCGAGTCATTTTCGAGTTATTGTTTATTTAACTCTTATGTGCGTTTAGATTTTTTTTGTTTTTGTTTCTTCCCCATCTTATTCAACTGGGAGCTGGGATCCCGGGTATTGCATCACGCGCATGACGGTTAAAGTAATATACATTTGAAACTTAACTCTAAGTAATAAATAAGAAATGTTTCATTCCCTCGTTATCGAAGAAGAAATTGCTCTCGTTCTTGTTCTGATCCTGATTCTAGCTTTGATGTATTGTTCTTCAGAATAGAATTTCTGCGGTTCCCTTGGCTATTGATGTCGGAGCTTATATGATTTTTCCGTACAGTAGATATACGGTGAGATGTTGAGAACATCGCTGATATGGAGACTGATACACGTAGCACAGAAAACAATAGGAGCAATGATCCTCCTATGAATAGTGCATAATATACAATTCGGTCAAATATTCTGAGGTAATAGAGGTAAAACAGAAACCGATTCCTCAGTGCCTTCGGTAGTTGGACCATCGTCTGAAAATAGATTTGAAAATAAAATGGTTAATTCACTAAAAAAACAAACTGATTTATTATTAAATTCATCAAAAATGATTAGGTAAATAATTCTATCGAATGTCATTTGCTGATCTGAGGTGACAAATAAGGTGGAAACATAGTCATCGCTATCAGAGCTGGTATGAACTTGGTAAAGCATGGAAACCGAAGATTGTCTATTTCGTGGTGGAGGAAGTTTCCTCTACCAACAAGTGATTTTTGTATCCATGATGAACAGCTGTTCATGACTATTCAATACCGTGCCGATTCAAATTTCGGACACTTAAACTCGAATTTCGGACACTTTTAAAAGTTGATTATCTCGGTCGAATATGATCCACATGTCTTGTAAATTTTAAATTTTTTTGACTACATTCTAAAAAAACTGAAAATTACACGAGCTTGAATTGAAGTATGATCTAATTTTCTTGTCATGTAATTCGATAAACGGCTTAATTTTATGTGCACATAGACGCACTTCAAAAAAATAAAGGTCGACAATTAATAATAAACACATCTAGATGTGAAATAGCGTCTTATGACTGAATATCACATCAACTTCTGAAAAATATGTCATGCTTTTAAAATTAGGTGTCAAAAAACCTAAAATGGCATGACCGAAACTGAAAAGTAAATTCGTGACAGATTTTTATGTCCGAATAGATGTAAAATTACATGATGCCTAACCTTGGTGACTACGCACCTGAACGCAGTAAGTAAAGCTTCGATCGTCATCGGCAACGCACTCCACAGTTTTATCGCGTTACGGTACGGTATTGAAGAAAATGAGTGTCCGGTGCAATATATGTGGTTTGGACTGCGCGAATTCCACTTTTTATAAAACAACATATCCGGCTGCATAGGAATTCACAAGTCTTTAAGTGCGCGTTCGGATGTGAAGTGATATTTAAGACATTTGTGGCATATCGACAGCTCTTGAGGTAGCGCCATATTGAATGGCAAAATGAAATTTTATACGAATGTCCGATAATATCCTGTAGTGTCAAAATAAACGATTTTAAATCAATCACTAAGCATGCAATGCACCACATATCCACAGGAGAGCCTATTTTTTGCCCGTTGAATTGCCGGAGAACCAAACCATTTGCAACACCAAATAGCTTGAGAATCCACACTAAATTATGTCTAAAAGATGGAAAATTGCAGGATTTTGAAAAATTATCAAAATCAGTAAAAATGAGCACCAGTGACAGAAATTTACGTCACGAAATGTAAAAATATGTCTTCAGTTTGTGGTTCGCGTAAATTTAAGAAAAGACGTAAATTTAGGTCAATTAAGCCGCTTCTTTTGAGTACATCTAAAAAGATTTAAATTTATATGAAATTTTCAAGTGTGTAGTGCCCTCCACGATCATCTAACATTATTACTTTGTTTCTAACTGCATGTAATATTTAATTAAAAATGAAAGTGTCCGAAATTTGAATCGTCCGAAATTTGAATCGGAACGGTATGGAAATGTAAACAATTGAATCACAAATCTAATCTAAAGCATTTGGAAGTCATCCTATCCTTAAATTGTCCTCTGAGCACTGTATGTTTGACAGCCAATTTTCAAATAAATGTCATCTTTAATTTGCAGGACAGTTATATGGATGCTTATCAGTTAATGAAATTCCACTGCATCGTAGCAAGAAGTACGGTCGACTAGTTTAGTGCTCCGTTAATTTGGAAGTTTTCATGGTATTCGCTTGATAGAAATTATCATAGTTGAAGATGCCAATTTCAAATAACAGGTGGTAATTTTTATACGATAGATGAAAGTATAGAGCTGATAGTTCCGTAAGAGTACGACAGTATGAAAATTGTATATAGAGAGTAAAAAGCAAGCAAGGACCCTTGCATCCCTTCTGATAACGACATGAGTGCGGTACAATTGATAGAACTGTTTCAAACACATCGTCGGTACATGAGCAAATCGGTGATCATCTCTTTTTGCCAGTGGTGGCGCGGGGCGGGAGATACCCCTTACCATCATCCCTCTCCAACAAAGGAGTTTGGTAAAGAGAGATGATCAACCCGATTTGTACCTTCATCAAAGTTGTCCTTGCTCGCTTTCTACTCTCTATAATATAAAATTATAATATGCTGAAGCAAACAGAATGCTAGCCTTCATTAAAAGATTCAGTTATAATTACTAGGCTAGGCTAGGCTAGGCTAGGCTAGGCATTTTATATGCTTTACGTAAATTTAATTGGACTGCATTGCCATTACCATCTTATGAAGCGCGCTGCATGTTCATTAATATACAAACACTTTTTTTAACACGTTTATTTAGAACTATTTCATCTTAGCATCTAGAGACAGTTACAACATAGATTAAAATCCAGCGCTTCTATTGTAAAACTACTGTTGACATCTAAAACAAATTTTACATAAACGATAAACATTTTAGAGCCTTGTTTTTCAAATTTCTGTTCGCACTCTTAAATTCAGGTATCAAAAACATTTGCAAGGTTACTCTTCGGTTTAAAATTTGCTCCAATTTTGAACGAAGATAATCCCACAGATGGCGTACACGCCTGCATGTAAAGAGCTTATGTTCAAGGTCTTCGACTGCATTCTGGCAATGAGCACATATTTCACTATCCGTTCGATTCTGCCTGTAGAACATGGCCGCGTGCGGGATTTTGTTATTTACCAATAGGTAATACGATGACTTCTCTTCTGCTGATAGGGTTCTATGCCGTATGTTTCGCCAAACTTTAGTCCATTGAACGTTAGGATTTTCTTCCATTAATTCAATCGATTTGTGATGTGCCAAGTACAAACTCCTTTTGCATCATCTTTCGTTACGCAGATGGCAAACCCACCCAACGTCAACGGAATCCCTGCATTGTATCCATGCCTGAAAAGAATTACCAAGGAGTTACCTTACATCCCCGAAAATGTGTCAAGGAATCCTTCTGCAAGTAGTATCGAAAACTTTTATCGTAGTTCACTTAAAACACCAAAAGTATTTAGCAGCAATGCTTTACACTTAAGCATCGGAAGGTGAAGATTGAGTCCACCTTTTTCCACAGGAAGAGTTAATTGTTCCATTGCTACTCTACAAGGATATCGCCCCCAAATGAACGATCTAATTTGAGATGTCATTCTGGCCACTGCCTGGTTGGAAATGCTGAGGACTGACGCCATGAACCACAATCTCGAAGTGATGAACGTGTTTACAAGGATGACCTTTTGGTGAACGCTGAGAACTCGAGGTTTGAAAAGCCACATAAGTTGAGATGATTTTCGAATAACGTCTCCCCAATTGTAATCAATGATGCGTTTCAGAGAGTTGAAGTATACAACGCCTAGGATTTTGACCGATTCATGCGCAGCGAGCCAGCCGCAGTCACGTCTGATATTGCGATGTCTTCCTACGATGATAGATGTTGTTTTAGTAAAATTCAAGACAGCTCCCGAGACAGTTCCAAAGTCCATAAACGTCTTCTTGATTGTATCCAGTTTTGTTTCGTCCATCACAATTATGGATATGTCGTCCGCATAAGCTACAACGAGTTCTAGGGGGTTGTTGCAGATGGAAGTGAGTTTTTCTAGGAGAGGGTGAAGGTAAAGGACGAAAAGGTGCATACTCAGAGTGTCACCTTGACGGACTGAGCGTTGGATGGGGAGCTCGATTGTTAGATTTCCATTCACAAGTACACGAGAATGAGACATGGACATAATATTTTGGACGAGAGACACAAAGTCAGAGTTGAATCGCATGCTCCGCATCACAACCAAAAGAAAATTTACATTTACGCGGTCAAAGGCGTGATCTAAGTCAAAAGAGATGAGCCTTCCAGTTCTTTTTTTTTGCAGTTTATTTCCGCAATTCTATCCTTAATAGCACATACAGCTTCGAAGATGTTTCTTTTGGAGTTGGAACATTTCTGATTTGGGCTTAATATATTGTTCTCCATCATAACTTTTTCCATTCTTTGCTTTAAAATGCGCGCAAGAATTTTATTATCAAAGTTCAACAGTGATATGGGCCTATAGCCTTTGATTGTATCATCGTCACCTTTTTTTTACAGAGAAATATTACGCCATCCATGAATTTCTTCATTATGTTGCCACGCATGCTTCATTGATGATGAGATTTAGCTGGCAGTGAATGATTTCGAAGGTTTTCATATAAATTTCTTTTGGCAGGCCGTCGCATCCAGGAGATTTTCTTGAAGCGCTGGATTTAATAACAAAGAATTTTTCTTGGGTGGTAATTTCGTCCATAGCTTGCATGTTTGATGCAGAATTCTCAGGAATAACACGATTACTTGGAAAATTTGTATTATCTGGCAAATTTTCAGAAGAGTAAAGTTCCTGAAAATATTGACAGACGTGTCTTTCGACTTCAACAGAACTTGTAAAGTGATGGTTCCCTTGCCGTATTCTATGTATTGCACTTTTATTTCGACGCTGAAGACGGTCCCCAAGCTGGAAAGCGGAAATTTTCTCCCCTGCAATATATTTGTCATTAATTCGTACAAAAGCTTTTGAGAAATTGCTTTGTAGACGAAGCATCTGAGCTTTGATTTTGTTTACTTCGGATATTCCTTGCGAATTTTGGTACAAATTTTCATACGCTTCACGAAGCTTGCAGTACAGTAATTCATTGCTAGCATGAAATCCTCGAAATGCAAGATTGGTCTTCCATTTGAAAAAGCTTAGAGTTCTCGGCTTGGCACATTCGATCCACCATGTCATCCAGCTGCCATAATTTCTTCTTTCTCTGAGCCATCGATTCCATTGAACCTCATACTCTTCAAGGTTTTCGGTAGTCAGGACATGTGGGCGAATCGACCAGAAACCACGGCCGTGTGTTTTACCTAGATCTGGAAGGCAGCATCTCACTTTGTATGCTTTATGGTCTGAAAAGGGTGTAACGAGATACTCAGACGTGCGAAGATGCGGAACAAGGGCAGGGGATACATAAATTCTATCTATACGCGAAGCACAATTAAGGCGGACG